AGTAAATCCTTAGTCCTTGTAGTCTGTAGATGCGATTTGTAGCCCTTAATCCAGTCGAAATTAAATTCCCTTAAGGTCGAAAACGGAGGTCGAATTTGAAACACGCGGTTATTGTTTTTTGTTCTGTCTTATGCTTTTTCAATAGTGTGCGAAATAAAAAGTTTGTTTTAAGTGAAAAAAAACTGACTTCAAAGGTACAAAACTAGCAAAACATGAAATAGAATAGCGTGTTTACTGTCCGAAACACACCATATGTCGAGAGATAGGCAAGAAGTGAGATTGCTTCCACGCCCCGGAAAATATTCCACTTTCAGAAATTAAATATCTTACACAAAAACTGGGGAACGAATTAACATACACCTTAAAAATGTGGACCGGTCGCCATTTGATTTGTGCATATCGGATTGAGTGGCCGTTTCATAGCGATGGTTTCGTCGCACAGGGTAAATGTTACAGTTTCATCAACGCTTTCGGCCAAAAGCTGGATCCTGGAAAATAGTTCATGGTAATTTTCAATAGTTACCATGAGGTAGAAGGCAGGAGACCTGTCAACCAACATAGTTCAGTTTGTCTTAGAATTAAGTGGAGTGTATCGAAATTCGCCTCGTCAATTTTTTTCGTAATAAAACGTCAGCCTTAAATGTATCATCGGCGCAAAGAATTTAAGTTCCACTGGCAGGGCAATTTTTTAAAGGAAACGTGTCACATATTTCCCATAAGCACATTGATTCACCGTAAACTGCTTCGTCGTGGTTCACTTGTATTTGTTTTACTCAGTACAGTAAACAGCAGCGGATTTGAAAGGTGCGCAAGTTTATGTATTAAATTTCTTGAAATATTATATTCATTTTTGTAATTTTAAGCAGTTTGTTTACATTTCAAGTGCGAAATTAAAATACGATAACATCAGCATTTGTCTATTTACAAAAAATGCTTAAAACGTATTTGAGGTCGCATTTCGCTTTAAATAAATACAAAAGCATATCCTTTAATTCATGGTCTAAGCAAGAAATTGAACGTCTTGTTTACTGTCTTGTCAGCTTATTTGTTATTAATATGGTTTCTTATGACCGACGGCAGTGCAATGAGTAAACGTAGGAACGGCATTCGATATTTAACACTCACATTTACTCAGAATTTGTTGGTATATGATATTATAATCTGCGGTGTAGTCTGACCATTATTCTGATGCATTCAATGTTGTAGTGAAATGTGTGTTGTACGGTTGGGCGAAAATAACACATTTGTCATATGAAGACGATATATTTAATATCTTGATATCTTTTCTAATTAAAAAGCACAGTCCGATTTAATTTTAGAGGGAGTAGTCAGTTAAATTTTTGTTGATGCTATGTGTGAATACGGTCCTTTGGTATGCATTGCGCAATGTTTAAAATAAGCCGTCTGGTAGCATACGAGCATACAATTGCCATGCACAAGCCTGCTTCTCGTTAGGAATTCAATTTCCGGTGAGTGCTGCAATGTGCTATTCTTCTATAGATAATTTAGGAATGTTTTCTAGTGATTTTAAATACACGCC